GTATTCATGGAAAACAGAACGTAAAAAATTATATTTATTGAATGCAATTTTTAAACATCAAGATTGAATTTTTGTCACTGTGTTTTCTCTGAAGGTGAGAATGACTAATATTCTGGGTAATTCAGAGTTCGATACCTTGTAGATTCCTGAATATAGGCGAGGAATTAGTTATCGCGTAATTTCGCGAGAAGCAATAAATTACTCGCATTTATTCTAATAGTACAGAAATCAATGTAAAATCTCTTGATCAACTGTCTACTTGCGAATTATTGTTCTCGCGATTTGACGTTAAAGAGCCATTTCGTGATAATAAGTACTCGCGAAAAATAGGGAATCTACAGTATGGACCCAACGTCAAATTAATTGCCATGCAAATTACTTTGACACAAATGATATCTTACATGCACAAAATATTTACAGTAATAAATCCAAGAAAATCTAATCAAAGGAAAATTTCTCTTTTACAGGAAAGCGTAATCTAGTTTGAATTTTTTGATACAGTTTAATGGATCATTATTTCTTATAGATAAAATAAATTTGAAATGGATATTTTGAATTTTATTTCATACTTTTATTTCATACTTTTTGTAAATTTGGAAAAAATAGCATTTTTTTAAAAATAGAAAACGAATGCATAATTCAAAAAGAATAAAAATAAATAAATTTCCCTTAAATTAAGATTTAGTATGCATAGTACATTTCATTTTGTACATAAATACCAAATATAATACTAAGTAATAAAAAAAACATCCATAAAGATTTGGAGACTAAAATTGATCTTTGTTAAATACTGTAGATTCCTTATTTTTCGCGAGTACTTATTATCGCGAAATGGCTCTTTAATGTCAAATCGCGAGAACCATAATTCGCGAGTGGACGGTTAATCAAGAGATTTTATATTGATTTCAGCAACATAAAAATAAAAGCGAGTCATTTTATTTCGCGAGTGGTGCTTCTCGTGTAATTACGCGATAATTAATTCCTCGCGTATATTTAGGAATCTATACTAACTTCTACCTTAAAATTTTATTATTATGAGGCAAGGAAATGCAACGTTACTTTGAAGTGAGCTTCAACATCTGTAAAAAAAAATCTAAAGTATAGAGATTTTACTGCATCTATGGATGTCATTATAAATAGTTTAATTCACTTCTTCTTTCTTCAAGTTGAAAAATGTACCAAAATTTTAACAAAAATTTACTAAATTGACAAGAGTTATGCCCTTTACTAATAGTAATTTTTATGGAAAAAATATTAACATCATATAATGATTTCCCCTCATCCGAATTAAACAGATTTTTTTTTTATTAAATTCATTTTATGCATTCTACTCTCGTAGAGTTAATTTATGACAAAAGATGTTGCGTTGCAGTTAGTTTGATGTTTCATGATAAATTGACTGGACTACTCGTAATTGTCATTATACAGGTGTTATATAAAGATTTTATTTATCTATTTGGTGTGCCTGAGGAGATCTGTTAAATCTAATTTCTTAGTTGTTGTATGAAATATGGAGATAACGAACAGTAATCAAGCTCAAAGTCCATTAAAACAATACAAATCGGGAGCAGAGCAAACACGGACCTCCAAAAACATCAGAGGTTGGATCAGGTACCATGGAGGAGTGAGCATCCCCTTCCGACCGGTCAACCCCGCCGTGTGGCCCTTGTCATGATCGGGGGATAACGGAAAAATCTGTCGACAATTCAGTGTGTAAATAATGGCCTCACTTCAAAGCTGTTCTCACCTATTGTAGTCCTTAATTTTTTGATGGCTTCAATGATTGTTTTTCAGTGAACGTTGTTTAATATGGTCTATGATCTTCAAATCATATATAAATTATTTAGTTAATATACGGCAGCGAAATCGGACATGCATAGAAATGCCGCTACCCACTTCAAAATAAGTAAAGATTAAAAAAAAATGTGTAAAGTCAGTTTCCGTAGTAACTTTAGTGTATACTAGGGAAACAACCAATAAATGAAAAAAAATATTAGACTAGCGATCCCACAACGTTCCTTTCCTTCCCTTTCGCTAATCTAATCATCACAAAGCTGCGTAACAGATTGTCCTCCTTTTGCGTTGATAAATAGAACTGTAAACCATGCATTTGTAATTTTTGATGTATTAATTGTGTCTTTTGTGTTTATTTGCTAAATAAATTTAGTACCAAAAAATCATTTCCGTTGGACTCCATGTTTACATGTACACACATTCATAAAACGTGATAAAAAAAACCCAGCATTTTAACAGAGCTTAACGGGGCTAAAGAAAATTAACACACTTGAATTTACATTTTCACCGAGTACCCCGGTACTCGATCGCAAAAAACGTTCGAGTAACCGATTATCAAAAATTGACCGATTTGACATCCCTAGACTTAATGATAGATTGTATTTGCTCATTGTATCGACCATAGAACTTACGAAATGATGACTTTAAACGAGACTGTTGTAGCTTTGTTGTAGATTACCATTAACGTCCTTTTCTAGTAAAATATCCAAATATGAAACAGATGTGTCAGACTCTGTGGCATCTTTTATTTCAAGCTCACTGGGATAAATCGTGTCGACATATGAATGGAAATAACTATTGTTAATTGATAATACGTTATCGATATATCTAAATGTCCAGTTGAAGGCCACAGCTAGAAATGTCTTTTTCTCATGTTTAAGATTTTGAATAAATTCTGCTTCATATGAATACAAAAATAGGTCTGCATACAACAACGAAGTGCAATTGGTACCCATGGGAATTCCAACAGATGGTTAGAAGACCTGGTCTCCAAGAACCACATAGATATTGTCGATCAGAAACTCAAGCATCTTTTTAATATCAACTTCAGAGTACTTATGTGTATAATTAGACTGTTTTTAACAAAATAATTTTGCAATTGACCAATGACAAGGTAAATAAATTGACGAGTTTCTTTTTTATTGAAAAAGCAGATGTCAGTGATGTCAAAAAGTCTGAACTTTAATTTGTCGTGGGGAATGGTGGTAAAACAGAGTTGAAAAGTTTTTGTTATTGAATTTGGTAAAACTTTGTGATTTCAAATTTTTCAAAGATCCTTGGAATTTTTAAGTATCCATATCTGATTTACACCATTCCTTGAATATATTGTTGCACAGTACTCCTTAAGTTTCATCTTTCCTGCTATTAATATTTTAGTGAGGAGTAAAGAAAGAGGCTTGCTAGAATATTCGCTGTATACTACCTTAAAAGCATTTATTTAAATTACAAAAACCTTGTCAAGTTTCTTTTCGACCAAAATTCATGCTTCATTTTTTTTTTATTTCAGACTGGTGAGGAATTAATTACATGACATCCTATCGTAAGAGTCCATGGATCACACGCTCACCTTATTTGATATGTGCACATGTATATTATGTATTTACGTAAATTTTAATTATATACATGGTCATTTAGAGGCAAGTACTTATGTGCTGGTATTAATTAACTGTGTTAAGACAGCATCCTTTTATTTTAAAGAGATAATGTGTAAAAAGTGAAGATATTAATCATTCATTGATAAATTAATAATGAAAATAAAAATTATGATGTACATGTATTTGTATTCGAAAACTAGTTTTATTTTACCCATGTATAATAAATTTCAAAATGGTCTTTGATCGGGCGTGATGAATCTTATTGTAGATAGTAAATAACAATTTATTAACAGAAATAAAAGCTTAACCTTTTAGAATGTAGAACTTTTGTGAACTTCCTCTCCAAAGTAGTATTATTTGTTGAAATTACCACAATCAATGTTCATTTAATGAAAGTTAATATTTCATTTCATTTCTCATTAATCTGACCTGACTAGAAGGTTAATTAAGGTATAAGTGACGTCTTGCACTTCTTCACATAGAATAATATTTTATGTTCCCTGTGTTCTCTGAAATCAAACACAATAAACATTAAATAGAGTTTCCCTTAATGAAGTTTTGTAAGAATTATGACTATTTTTGCTCCCGTTAGTTTCTCTTAAATCGTGTTTTGCACCACTAAACAAAGAGTTGTAAAATAAATTCATAAATATGTTTTCAGTTTCTGAAGTATAAGATTTATTTATTTTTTTTTCAGAATGAATAGAAGATATGCTGTATCCTTTAGATTTTATTCATTGTATGTACGAGAGAGAGAGAGAGAGAGAGAGAGAGAGAGAGAATGCTTTTACCCAACTGAAATTATTTTAGATTTTAAATTTGCATTTGAGAACTTGAATGTTTTAAATTACATTAACATTTGTAATAAAATGATAAAATGATGTACGTTTTTATCACTGAATTCAAAAATAGAAAAGCAGTTTACAGTATATTGAAAAACAATGTAAATAAATTATGTCGTATGTATGCTTCATTTTGATAGGAATGTTTTTCATTTTCATTTTTTCCCTATAAAAGAATTTTTTCTAACAAAAATACTAAATTATCGGAGTTTGTTCTCTGCCTCTCAATATATTCCACTTAATTACAAACAAACACCCTAATTTGAAATGTGACCTTTAATTAAGAATGAATAGGCATCAATATTAGCTTTGACAGCAACATTAAAGGAGGAGGAAATTTCGTAAAATCAGGTGTTCATGCAAATAACACGTATTCAGTTCTTAATACAAGGTACATAATACTTTTAATTAACTGAAGTTTATTAACATTGGGCAGACAATAAAATACACATATTGCATTTTGAGACAAATTTTGGCTGCATTCTTATCATTTTTCATTTGGAGAAAATGGTTTTATTTCTAATAAAGATGAGTGAGTAGTTTGTCATTAGTTTCCTAATAACCTGTAAATTTCTACAATATTACTTTTGTATAAAGGGCGTGTTTTTGAGGACAGCATCAAATCCTAGGATCCAATAGCTATTGTCTAGAAGAAATTTGCAAAAGTATTTATTTCGTTGTGGGTATATATTAACATTCAATTAAATTCTGTCTGACAAATCTTAATTTTGACTTTGTTTAAACAATCACTGTAAGTCATTCTCTTATAATGGATGCAGAGAGAGCTTCTTTCTCCAACGAAACCGACCATTCCCGAGAGACCCAAGAAAAATCCGAGGAGATGAACGAAGAAGCAGTTGCATTCGAACATTTCCTTATAGGCCGAAGCAGACAGGTAAGTTCATTATCATTTTTATATAAAGTTTATTTTTTTCATTTTGTAAAAAACTATTGATTGATTGATTGATCTTATGTTGTTTTACGTCACATTCGAGAATTTTTCACTCATATAGAGGCGGTACCATATACCGGTGAAGGGCTTCAAATTTAGACCTTTACTCGGCACTCATGGCGATTGAACAGTGAGGGTTCTTTATCGTGCAAACGCCTACCACGACACGGGGCCTCGGTTTTTAAGGTCTCATCCGAAAGACCCGCAACTTTCACTTCAAAGTGCCGAGCGCTTGGCGAAGGAACAGTTGATACCCATTTTTTATCGATTTAGGTCAGTCGCGGCCGTGATTCGAACACACGATCTACCGATCACGGAGCGAGCGCTTTGTAAAAACTAAAATTACCTATTGAAAAGTTTGTTTGAAATTGATTCTGTTGGCATGGAGAAAATTAAAAGAAAAATTACCACTGAAGGAAAAGGATATCAATTGGTAATTCTTGTTTTAAAAAAATTCAAACAAAATTTTCACAAAGCGTCCTTAAAATTCAAATGAGTAGCACACCTTCCAAAGCATTAAATACGTGCACAGGAATAGAGAAATTAAAGAAAAAAACCCCCAACTCTTTGAACATACAACGTTTATCTATATATAAACCAAGCATATTATATTTGTATGTAGTGTTCTGGTTCAATAGGTCTGCAATAAAAATCAGAAAATTGTTAACAAACGTTGCATAAAAGATTCTGCGACTGCTGCCATAAATTGAGCATAGGATCAAGATAATAACACATCAAACTTTAGAGAGTATACTAGTAATTAAGAATATAATAATATAAAAAACTTTAAGCTATCTTCATCCCAAGAATCCAAGTGCCACGTCTTGTCTAATTTATGCTAATAAGTACTAGTATACTAGTATGACAGCTTTAAGTTGAAAATAAATACATAAAGACAAAGACGACGTTTCTGGGTTTTTTTCACGAAATACTTGTATCTATTTAATATAAGCCCAATAAAATATCGCTACATTTTGTTCAATGGTATGCAAGTATCTTCATATGGAAAAAATCAAGTAATTTGGTCATTAAAAGGGTTTCATGTCTTAACTATCAACAGAAACAGTAGAGAAATATAGTGAAAACAAGCTAGGATTTATGATTATATTGCATTTATCATTTTAAAAATGTTCAAGGAAGTCTTTGTATGTACCCTAATATTCAGAACATATTTGTTATTATCAATGACTTGCTGTTTTTCGTACAGAGAAGACAACGGACGACTTTTACTCCTTTCCAGATCACAGCTTTAGAGGACTTGTTCTCCAGGACCCACTATCCAGACATCTTCGTAAGGGAAGAACTAGCTCTTCAGATCAACCTGTGTGAAGCCAGAATACAGGTTAACACTAATCCCTACCCTTATCTATCATACAATCAATAGTATTTTCATATATTTTTTTACAGAATATTTTTATCGCTTCATGTTCAAGAAATAAATTTCGCTTTTACTAATTATATTGTCAGTTTTACAAATAATACCATGTTGAGTTCTCAAAAATTAATTTTGACATTGATTTTTTTTAAATACAGAAAACTAAACTTTTATCTTTTTAAAAATCTGAATCACCAAAATCCCGTCCTGTTGCACAATGTGGTATTTTGTCTATTGCTTAAAAATACTAGCATGCTAAATAAAAAGATAAATAGCTAAAGAAATATATGCGAGGGTTGTCCGGTAAAATAGTGGACAGGTTGTCTAGAATGAAGAATAATCATCACTGTGTTCTAAAATTTTCACTATTCTTTAGTGCATTTTTCATCAATATACATAGCAAATTTCAAATGGATATATGCTCAAATAAACAAAATACGAGATGTTATGTTATGTGTTGTATCGCATTAAGGCGCAGGGATGACAACGTCAAAGTGTCTATCTAAAGCAGCGTCACGTTTCCTCTTTGCTGAAAAGGTTGGATAAGCCCCACTTAGATTCGGGAATTTCATTGATGCACTTACTTAGTTTTCCTTTATTCCTCCATAAATAGTCGAAGAACCAATCTCGCACACACATGGGACCTTTTGAAGATTTATTAGAAAGTTATGGACAGTACTCTCACCGTCATTCAACTAAAATGCTATCTTATATCGACGGTCTACGGTAACAGCGTCTTTCGCTCTTGCCAGTAGCTGTTTGTCCGTATGATTTGTTCTACCCGAGGACTCGATCAAAAAGCTTCCGCTTAAAAAACTCCAGTTTCACTTGTATACTAAAGATCAAGTGATATTTTCATTTTTTTTTCTTCTGTAGTCATTTAAAGTCTCTTAGGGCGTCATTACTGCATCTAAACCAAACTGAACTGCTCTCCGGTGTGCCGTACGTAACATCATCAAACGTCGTCATTTTTAGTGGGTTGTGTTTACCACTTTCCCATTTCAAATGCTCTGGAAACTGGCAAAAATTAAACAAATTAAATGCCATGAAATTTAAAAAAAAAACAAACAAACAAACAAAAAAAAAAAACCGACATAATAGATATCGGGTTAAAGATAACATAATTTTTTCCCACAATCCTTTCTATTTAATACTTTTATTTCGAAATAATACTCGTGTATTCTCTAATGAAACCCTGTCTTTTTATCGTGCGCCATAGGACCGTACCGTGTGCACACTCTAGCATAATAAAATCTTTATTTTTGTCTTTATTGTATAAAAAAAAATTGAGATGTATTCAAATCTGATAAATAAACATTACCGGACAACCCTCGTACATATATAATATAAACATGTAAACTCCATTTCTAATTTTGAATAGTTTCCACCTGATCCCACTTTTAGCGTTTGGACGGGTCTGTGCTTTGCCGAAATCACGTTTTTTTTAATCGTTTATAGGATTTATGATATTGATCACTTTCGTTTCCTCCTTTTATTTCTAAGATTTGTTATATTTGTATTTTTTTTTTTACAATGATCAGGGTCTAACAGATGAAAATGTAATATTGTAAAGATCATGCAATGACTCTGAAAATTGAAAACTTTACTTTTAAAGATGATAAGAATAAATGGCAGGGTTATTTTAAGAAATATATCAATTTGATATTTTTTTAAGTATATTAATTTAAGCTAAATGAATTTAAATTTTGATTACATTAATTTAAAACATCGTCGACAATTTCTAGGTATGGTTCCAAAATCGCAGAGCTAAATGGCGAAAAGAGGTGCGATCGGCTGGACTTGACTCTCCTCTCCGCCTCCGCAACATGGTGCAACAAATTCAAAACCAAGTACATTCGTACCAACCACCACTTAAAAGAGGAATACCTCAGATAACCAGCACTCTATTTAATTACCAATTTATGTCTCCAAACAAGTTTAATGGTCTTGCTGCTCATCAGCCACCAGCACTATTTCAACAAGAACAACAATCCAATCAGCAAAAGTAAGACTTCTTCTCGAAAAGGAAAAGGAAATTTTATTATTTTTTAATTTTTTCTATAAATTTAATATTTAATATATGTGTGGGTAGTATTCTAATTACGTTCCCATTTAATTACTTCATAGAGCTATGCATATACTCTCTGGATTTCGACCACAGTATGGAAGTTTGTGTAGCTGTGCACATCACTCCCTGAGTACTTTACCAGGAGATCAAGCGACGCATTCTCTTACACTGGAACCAGTTCCACTGGTCATGAAAAATTCTACAAATATTGGGAATACTCCGGAAAATGATAAAAATTAGATTATTTAAACATGAAATGATACCATAACTCTTGCTTTTCTCATGCAAAACTTGATTATTTTTCTTTGATCAAGTTTAAATGGTAACTTGAGGTGAAGTATCGTGTTTTTAAAATATAATGGTGTACGAGTACTTTATCAGTGTAATGATATTTATGCAGTTTTAAGTTACAGGTGTATATAGTGTACAATTTGTGAGGGAAATATGGTGGACTTGGATCACTACGTACCAAAGCAATGAAATTCCTTTAAACTTTTTTTTTCAAAGGAGAAAGTAAGATAAATTAATTTTATAGCATTTGTAGTTTATTGTTTACCTGTTTGAAATTAGGAATAGTGAGTGAAATTGGAAGACAACGAACAGTAAACACTCGCAAAAATCCATTTAAACAATACAAACTATGAGCCAACACGGACCTCTGAAACAGAGGTGGGATCAGGTGCCATGGAGGAGTAAGTATCCCCCAGTCACACCTATTTTGTCATGATCGGGTAAACAGAAAATCCTTAGACAATTCAGTGTTAAAATAATGGTTTAACAATTTGTATAAAACACGCCAATCAACATTCTTTCTAACAACAGATTGTATTTACAAACAAGCTCATTGTATCAACCATAGAATTTACAAAATGTTGGCTTTAAACGAGATTGTTGATATCCTTGATTTATCAACTTATTTGTCATATCTGTCTCGTTTTAGAAATTGTTAGTTCATAGAAGATATTCTTTCGTATCGAATCAATTGGGAGACATAAACTCTACATGCAGGTGATGATGGTATTTTGTTACATAAATGAGGGAATTTGATGAGAGAAAAAGTTGAAGTCATCACGTTTATCATAAAGTCTAGTTGTTAGTTTGCCTTTTTCTAGTTAAATATCCAAATATGAAACAGATGTGTCAGACTCTGTGGTTTATTTAATTTCGAGTTCAACGGGATATACCGAATCAACATAGTAATGGAAATAAATGTTGTTAATTGATAGGTCGTAGATATATCTAAATGTTGATTTGATTTGATTGACTGTTTATTGTTTATCGCTGAGTCGGCAATATTTCAGCCGTATTTCGGCGGATGTTGATTTGAAGGCCGCAGCAAGAGACTTCTTCTTTTCATGTAGAAGTTTTTAAAAATAATTCTGTTTCATATGAAAACAAAAACACGTCTCTAAAAACGTAAGAAAATTAGTAGCCACAAAAATTCCAAAAAGATTGTTGGAAGATCTGTTCTCCGAAAACCACATACTTAGAACTTGTCAGTGCGAAATTCAAGCATCAACCTCGGAGTACCTGTGTTTAGAATCAAAATGGTTTTTTTCCCAAATAAGTCTACAGATGACCAGTGACAAGATGTGCAAATTAACAATTTCCATTTTTATTGAAGATGCAGTAGTTTTTTTTTTTATGTCAAATGAATCAATTAATGCATATAAATACTGTTTAAATAGTTTATGAAATGGATTATAAATTATCTTGAAAAATAAGTTACTTTTCCTGATGATTTCCTGAATCTCTCTCTCTCTCTCTCTTTCATTTTACTACCATTTAAAGATGCTTCGATGTTAATATACCTAACAAACATCTCTAAATATTTTTACAGCGTAGCAGTTGGGTCTTGCAATTACCGGTACTTTTTCTGTTAAATGTATTTTAAATATGCAGCAAACATAGTTGGCTGTATGTTTTGCATATTTGTGATATTTTTACCCGAATCGTGATCATGCAGTTTCTATAATTAGATTTATCTTAAAAACTAAGTCTCTTTCAAGTCCTCTTTTCTCCTTTGAAGGTTGATACTTTATAAAGAAATATTTGAAATTTCTAAAAGCATTCTCTGTAAAGACACACATATGATAGCTTGATGAGAGAGTTATCACGTGCGATGACGGCGATATTCTTTTCAAACTTTAAGATTTCTTTTTTTTTTTTTACTCTTGAGAATAATTTACTAACGTAAATTTTATAGCAATAAAGATCCATATCGCTGTCTGTATGACAATGATGTACAAAAGGGTGTCAGATACCGCCTCTACAGCCACACTGTCAAGAAGAACCTGGGGTCATTGTTCTAAATCTTATTGTAAAGTACGGAATAACATTCTCAGAGTATATTTTGTTGCAATTATAATGATAAATTAATTATTTATCTGAATAATATCTAAAATGTTTGAAGAAGAAGAATATGACAAATTTCAATGTTTACCTGTCGTGAGATTTATGTGAACATAAATACAATTCTATAAATTACAAGAGAAATTAATTAGAAAAGAAAACTTCTTTCGCTAAGTAAATTTTAACCAAATATAATGAATCCTTCTTAAAAGCATTTAGCTTGACAGACATTCTCTGTTTTAAATAATTACAAAAGTTGATATGCGTGGGACATGATATTTTAAACAACTGAAGATAAGCTTTAGAAATTCACTTAAAAGAAAATAAATACACACACTTTTAAGTTGTTTGTGATTTTAAAAAAAACAATTGTTTCCAGCGTCCTTAAAATTGACTTTACAATTTTTTGCTTTAAAAAAGTGAAATGTCTTTTAGGTATATTTCTGTCTTTTGTTTAATCATTAGAAAATGAAAGCTTTAAAACGTATGTCATTAAGTTTGACATTAAGAATATCTTCATATTGAATAGATCTATATAGAGATGACGGTTATAAGTGTATTTTGGCCTAATAGTATAGTGTTCAGACAAATAAATTCGCCCCTTTAATTTTATAATGCAGAGGGATGTGTAAAACTCAACAAGAGTCTAAACCCTCAAAAGTTGAGTGGTTTTTCTGATTGAAGTTGTATACTTTAAACATTGTTTAAAAACTTGTCCGAGTGTAGTAAGCACTTTCCCTTTTTAAGTGACAGTGAAATGAATGAAATTTCCACGACTTGATAGTGTATAATTGGAGCGAGTCCCCGCTGACAGTCACCTTAATAACTATGATTAAAATCACGTCGAGTTTTGATGTGTTTATTGCAGATCATTTTTATGATGAACAATTCAGCCACGCATATTTTATTGTTATCATTATATCTAGTAGTGACTCAGCGAAATGTGCCATTGTCTTTTAGCTGTTCAGAAAAAGAATCACCCGATATGAAACTAATCTTATAAATGCATAGTGAATGTTATATTTTTAGCGAACTCTTGGTTGACAATATTCAAAAACATTTTCCTAAGAATGCTGTTAAATTGTATATATTTTATAAATATTTCGTTGTTTGGTTACTGACAAGTTCCTAAGTTTGAATTAAAGTTAAAAAATTTACTTATCTTACGACAAATGAACACTTGTAAACAACGTATCGAATACAAAATATGTTTGGTACAGTTACTCGCACGTATATTTTTTCATATTTTAAAGTACATATAGTGTATATTTGTTAAAAATTATATTTAAAGAATAGCTTGAATATGCATTGTCCATGTATACGTAATACACACGTAAATACCCGTTTATATCGCCTGGGGTTGTGTATACAGTAGGGCATGTATACAGTTATTAACGTGACCAATCACCTGGTATACAGCTCTTATCATCTCTGCAGCCCTTAATTTTTAGATGGCTTCAATGATAAGTTTTCAATGAACATAGTTTAATTAACATAGTCAATTATTTTTAAATGATGAAGATAGTATACGGTAGCGAAATCGGACATACATAGAAATGCCACTTCAAAAGAGAATTACTGTTTTAAAATCAGGAGAAAATTTAGCATATGTAGGGGAACAACACACCATAATAATTAAATAATATATGACTAACGATCCCAATAAAGTCCTTTCTTTTAAAGATATTCTCTTTCGCTAGTCTAATGACTACAAAGCTACAAATTGTCCTCCTCTTGTGTTGATCAAATCGTCTTCCAAAACATGAAATGTAAACCATTTGTATTTATTGGTGATGTTATTTGAAAAATAAATTTTGTGCCAAATATATCGTTTTTATTGGGCTCGATGTTTATATAAGTACATCATAAACATAACAAAGAACATCGTTAGTTTTTAAGAAGGATAAACTGTCTCAAGAAAATTTTAACAATTGTATTAATTTCACATTTTACCGAGTACCCGGGTACTCGATCGGAAAATCGTATGAGCAACCGATTACCAAATATTGACCGATTTGACACACCCCATATATATATATATATATATATATATATATATATATATATATATATATATATATATATATATATATATATATATATATATATATATATATATATATAATACAATGCACCAAAAATACAAAAATGCAAAAAAGATAAAAAATAAATTAATTAATTAAAAACACATCAAAATTATGTTTATTCTATAAAATTCATATATTTTATAAAATATACGTGTAAACCTGTTCAACATTACATATTGTCCTTACAAGTAAGATTTTTTTTTTCCAAATAGTCATGTATTTACTTGATTTATTACATTTTCAATAGTGAAATACTGTGATTTATTTATTGATTAAAAGTGATATACTTTCACAGTATGAAAGGATGCCAAAATGATATTCTGGTACAGTGTTAAAGGATATCAAAGTAAGTAAAAATGATTTCTGGGCTGTCATAAGATAGTGATAGTAACTAAACCATCTTGATAGAGACTAAAATTGTAAATTTCCTCCCAAATATATAGAGGATATTCAATGTTTTGGGGTTGGATATGGCATTTAGTTCACGAGTGGAACAGGATATTTTGATATTTTCACGAAGTGCGAATCACGAGTGAAAATATAAAAAAAATCTTGTCTCACGAGTGAAAAAAATTCCATGTTCAACTACAAAAAAATTGAATTTTCTGTTTATTACATTTTCTTTGATTTTTCCTTTGCCTTTGTCTTTTCTTAAAACAGTTTCATAGGCTGTGACGTCATAGTTGAGCAGTTGAGACGTCCTAGCTTGGCAGTTATGAGATTGAAAACATTGTAACATGGATGTTAGCAACATTTTGGAAGAAATTGGCAGTTTTAGTCTCTATCAAGATGGTTTAGTTACTATCTCTATCTTATTACAGGCCAGAAATTATTTTTTTACTTACTTTGATATCCTTTCACACTGTGAGAGAATATCATTTTGGTATCCTTTCACATTGTGAGAGAATATAACTTTTATTCAATAATAAATCACAGTATTTCACTCTTGAAAATGTAATAAATTGCTAAAATCCATGTTACAACATTTTCAATCTAACAATTGCTAAGTTATCCACTGCTGAACTTTGACGTCACAGCCTATAACACTGTGTTTAGAAAAGACAGAAGCAAAGAGAAAATAAAGAAAATGTAATAAACGGAAAATTCAATGTTTTGTTGTTGGATATGGAATTTATTTCACTCGTGAGAAAGGATTTTTTTTTTTTACATTTTCCCTTGTGCTTTGCACTCATGAAAATATCAAATAATCCTGTCCCACTCGTGAAATAAATTCTATATCCGACAACAAAACACTGAATATCCTTTATATACTCATTTCTGCATATAACATTAATAAATACAATAAATAAGCTATTCATGTAAAATCTCAAAGCAGAAATAAAAATTCTGACACAGAGGAAAATATTGAAACTGCTATTGCAAGCAATGACATGTGTCACCCTGAACTGATGGTGATGAAAACAGAGTAAACAACAACTAATTCAAAATTTTGCAAAATGTTCAGAAATATACAATTTTTGTTTCCTTGATCACGGCTGCCATTTTTGAAATTTAAACCCCCAAAAAACTTTGAGGAGACACTATAGACGACAATAACATGCAGTTAAAAATGTTGGCAGAGAAAAAAAATCAAATTAAAATGAGAATTCCCCCTTTTTTATTTCCACGGCAACAGTAAAGTAAATTTCAACCAATTCCAATATTTTTGACCTAATGCAGAGAAAAACTTGATGTTTAAAATAATTTGGCTGGAAAAGATTTTTTAACAAAAAAAAAAAAAAAAAAAAAAAAAAAAAAAAAAAAAAAAAAAAAACAAGGCCTACCTGGTATTTTAATTCTTACGCTTTCAACTTCTTTTTCTTTGGAGAACTATAAATAATAGGGTATGAAACTTATATTTTCATAATTATTCTGATATATTCAAGCTTTAATAAATGTAAAAAAAAAAAAAAAAAAAAAAAAAAAAAAAAAAAAAGTTCTTATTTTGAGTGTATGTTTCGTTCAAATGATATTTACAGCTGTATTTTATATTTTCAGTGCTTTGTAACTGCTAAAATTTAAAATAGCCTCTCTCTCTCTCTCTCTCTCTCTCAATTTGGATTGCTTTTTGTATCAAGTTTTCGAGTATAATTTTATATTGAGGGGGTTTACATAAATCCTTCTTATTCTATTCATCGACCAAATCTGCTAAAAAAAAATTAATTAAATTACAATAACCTTTGAGTGAAAGTCTAATAGCTGTTTAATTGTATTTTATAAGATTTTTTTTTTAATTTAAACACTTTTAAGAGCAAAGAGAAATTGCTGATGGTTTGATTGATGTTTATAAATGTTATCTGGTTGTTAAGTTTGAATTAATCAGCTGAAATGAAAACCTTGAAAAAAAAATCGCCACAAACTGCATTTACCTGTTTTAAACACTAATAAATACTTTATTTAAAAAAACACACACAAGAGAATGGAAGTTTATTTTTAGGAAACCACCGTGCAAGATTGTTAAATATGTCTTAATGTAAACATATGTCTATCGTTTGATAACAAAAATGCAAAGTATCTTCAGCTTAAAGAGCTTGAAACTAAAAGAAAAAAAAGAGATGGTCTCAGCAAAAGTAATTTTACAAATTATATTACTTGATTATGAAAAATGAAAAAAAAAGACAGATAAAACATTTAAAACTGAGGGTTGAAATTCGGTAAAAGGAAATTAAAAAGATCAAGGAAATGTAAAGGATTTAGCAATAGAATTCAGAATTAGAATGACAATGTGAAATATTGACGTATATGAAAGAATGTGGAAAGATATGAAGACAGATAATATACAAAAATATTGATAAATGACTCAGCAAGATTTAGATTCCCATGTTACATTACTTGAGGTGATAGTAGGTCATATAATCTCAGCTGTGCAATGCCTCTGCAGGATGAACGTGACAAACGTGATTGATCTACAAACATTTCGTTTTAAAAAATCCCTTCAGTAAAATTGATATCTCCTGCACAGCCATTTAGAAAAGGCAAGAGAAGGAAATCCCTATATGAATGACAAGCATATTTAGTGAAGAATGTCAGACTATAAAGCAAATGGTCAGTCGACCAATCGCAATCCATCCTACACTGTGTTTACAATGAATTACTTATAACGGTATTAATATTAAATTCGACAGAGCCATGGGTTTCATTTCAGACTGCATGTCCGCAAGGTAAGTGCAGTATTTCAATTCATATTATGTTAGATGTTCAACAGCTTTACAGTTTTTTTTTTAATTTTTCTTCAACGAGTTTTGCATAATATTAACTTCCCCAATGTAATTCTTATTTTATTCTTTCAATCAAGACCAGTTTTCTTCCGTATTGAATGTTATGATATTAAATGGCAATCGAATAACTTAACCGCAATATTCATTCGAGAAGAAAATCTTTCATCTCGTTTTAAACAAATGTAAACACATCACTGCGATGTACTATATGCTTTTCCTGTATATACAAATGCATATATATGGAGTATATCCATTGATAGTTCAGACACAAAAACAGTGAATAAGGAGAGGAAGCGACAACGCTGAATAGCTCCGTAGTGAAAGGTCATTCAACGGTGGTCTACTGTTTGTTATTAGACGGATAACGAAGGACAAGCTACATTGACAAAACATGAATGGACAGAAACAAGGTAAGTGAGGTTTCAAATCTTCCCCATTTCCCTTGTGCAATGCTATTCATTTATTAGGACGATCTGTTTATTGTTTACAGGAGTGACTCGACAAAAAAGGCAGATTAATTGGAAATCCGTTTTTCCTTTTTATTTATTTATGACCACAAGTTCCTATCAGTCCGATGAGGACTTTAATATCACGAAACAGCATTGCTTAAGTAAATATTGACAAAGGTTTTTCTGGTTTGTGTCGTCAAAGCCGATATTATATGTTGACAGTTGATTTTTTCATCCTTGTATATTTATAATTAGCAGGCTGCATACAATACTTCTATTATTTTCAGATTCGTCTTTTTTTCATTTCTTTTCTTTAGAAACCCTTTTTTGTATAATAGGTCGGTTTTTTACCGTGTATTTTTAGGAAGCATTAATTGTTTATTTTATTACCCATCTTTACAATTAAAAATTGTCTTATTTAACCAGTCTTTTTTCACGTACAAACGATTTTTTCCCAGTATTTATATGGGTTTGGGATGCATATTTTACACAGATAGTACAAAACATTGAGGTTTTATTAAAACAAATGTGCATTTCCTAAACGATTGTAGTATATTTATACTAAAGGTATTTCCATATTTCTAATCAATGTCTGAAGTAAATGATGTACCTCTCAGTCATTGCTTGAACTTGAATTATTTACAAATGTCATTCATTTGTAAAGAATAACATAAGATGACATTTAGCACTAAAAAAAGTTTAGGACACATATCATTTATAAATTTGACATCAATTTTCCCTTTGATAAATTTTATGTATTGTATCTAACATTTTAAGCAATTAATTATGTAATGCAGTTCGTTGTGACTCATGACTCAATGTCTTCATGAGTTGTTCATGCATTCGTTGTGACTCATGACTCAATGACTTCATGAGTTGTTCATGCATTCGTTATGACTCGATGACTCATGAGTTGTTCATGCATTCATTGTAACTCATGACTCAATGACTTCATGCTTTTGTTGTGACTCATGACTCCATGAGTTGTTCATGCATTGTAGTTTCAACATTATGCTGCTCTATTTTGGCCGTTTCAATTATTCAAACATTTGTTCTTAGTTTCTGTCATATTGTAAATCTATTATTTTAATAGGCGTCAGTAAGTATTGAATTTTCAATATGACAAGTCTGTCATTTCGTTAAAATATTAACATCCACTCGGAAAGTTCAAAAATTACAATATGACAGTTCGGCTAATATGCTATGCACTCTGTGCTGTCATAAAAAAGTGCAACAAATAATAAAAAAAAATATTTGTAGAACAATTACGTTTTACACCTCGTCTCACTTATCTCAGTCTCGAACTGATCAATGTAAATCTCGTGTTCAACAACATTTTTATTATTGCCGTCGATGAACTTTCAAAGATAAAAAGGAGTTATTTTGCTGACTGTGGCTTGTATTAAGCAAACTAGCTTTAGATCTTGCCTAAATCCACTTTCAAAACTTAAAGCATATTTATTTTATGCTCATTATCTGCACCGCTGAGCTAAATCAACAGCGAATTTTTTCAATGTAATAAAAAAAAAAAACAATGCTGCACACATGAGAACATGAAAATAATCATGTCCTGTAAAATTGCAACCCAAAACCCACTTGATTTTAAATTATGCAAATATTCATTAGAGCCAATTTAAATATTATTATCATTATTTGAATTTTTAGTTACATGTCTATTAGAATTTGACGTTAACTTTCAGTATTTTGTTCATTGATTCGAAAATTATCTTTAAGGAATTGTGGTATGTGAGGCGATTTATCATTTCGGAGGTTTGTAATGTTTTCAAAATTTCAAAATTATATGAATACTACGGTTTCCAAAACTTTGCAACATTAGTTGCTTTAATTATAATTTACACCTGAAATTATCATTAGTGTTCAACGCCCCAGATAGGATCTTCTCCTAAGTCTTCTTCCCTTGAATGTAAGATAGAATAAATGGGAATCTACAGTTAATGACAAAATAATAGATTTTTCTTGGTTTTAGTTTAGACCAATTTAAAGTAATTAAATAAATTGTTTGCATAATAGGAGTAAAAATTTTACAAATTCGATACAAATTAAAAAAAAACAACTTTTTCCTCCATAATATACGAGTAATATCTTTCTAAGCATAACCAGTTTCAATTTTTTTTACTTTATTTAAATAGCTTTTACAATTGAAAATGAGGGAGAAGTTTAGAGAAATAACCTCATATATATATATATATATATATATATATATATATATATATATATATATATATATATATATATATATATATATATATATATATATATGTATATATATATATACATACATGATGAGAATTAAAATTACATCACAGAATAAAAGTGAAAATAAAAAAGGAAATTTAATTTGAACAGTATCTGGAACTTCAATACATCGATAAACAGTAGGGGGGGAATGTAAATGTTTTAAAAAATAAAATAAAAAAACAAGCAAACAAACAGACTAATTAGCAAACAATGAAACCAAGAATGAAATAAAACATTGTCTTGTCCAACTTTTTGTGGGTAATAAATCAGCAAAATGATACTGTATTCCAAAACTCCTTATAAACAAAGATATATTGAAGGGTCAAGTAAATGTTCAACCAATCCTCTATCCTAATCCTCGGCGACATTTTAACTACTATGAATTGGGACCTTCAGGCGTACTGTGCTACAACATATTCAAGAAGCGGAGTAATGCAAATGTGGATTCTAAAAATTCTAAAGAATCAAGGAATATCTAAAATCACAAAACTTTTCAAAAATCAATAGCGTCAGAACATGAGACATTTTAACGCTTTATACTACCACTCCTCACGATAAATTAAAGAACAGGCTTTTTGACATCATAGACAAATGTTGTTGTTTTTTTAAAATGAAAATGGAACTCGTAAATTTTCATATTGGTCATCTACAAAATTGTTAAAAATCATCCTGCACACAAATACTCTGAAACTGATCTTAAAAAGATGCTGGAGTTCCTCATTTACAATATTTAGTAGTCTTTGGAGACTAGGTCTTTCAACAATCTGTTGGAATTCGATGGGCTCAATTGTGCTTCTTTATTAGCCGATCTGTTTTTGTATTCTTATGAAGCAGAATCTATTTAAAAACTTCTACATGAGAATAAAAAATCTCTTGCCGCGACTTTCAATTCAACATTTCGATATAATGACGACATTTTATCAATTAATAATAATTATTTTCCTTAATATTTCAAATCGATATATCCCATTGAACTCGAAATAAAATAAAAGACACACAGAGTCTGTCACATCTGCTTCATACTTTTATACTTTACGTACTATAGAAATTAATTGCCAAATTTACAACTAAGTTATATCCCAAACGGGATTAAGTTATCCATTGTCAACTTTCACTATTAATGTAGAAATATTCCACAATCACCTGCATATGGTGTTTATGTCTCCCAAATGATTCGATATTCAAGAGCATGTTCTGAGAACGATCAATTTTCTAACAGACGTTAGAAACTGATAGATAAGTTGATGTCACATTAATTTCTACAACCTCGTTTAAAGTCAGCATTTTGCAAATTCTATGATCATTATACTGAACTTGTTTAGCAAATACATCCTATCATTGGGTAGTAATTTGACTGACATATTTCCCATCGATTGCAAGTTCATTGTTTTTATACCATTGTGATTACGGATTATACTCCGCATTTACTTCACCAATACCGAGGTTTGACCGGTCGACAAGGGATGCTAACTCCTCCCAGGCACACGATCCCATCTTTGATGTTTCCAGGGGTTCATGTCCTGTTCAAGACTCATATTCTTCACTGGATTTCTGAGATTGATCACTATTCATTATCTTCACCTTTTCCATTTACATGTAGTATTTTAAGGTCATTGGAGGGTAACCTTACTCTACAACATTATCAATATGAGGTCATCCTCAGCCAAACCAAACTTCTGTCACCTGAACGATAAAAGTCATAACCCATAAGATCAGGTTACTTTCTTCAGCTTAATCTGTTTTTGTTTTGTCAAAATATAATTCTACCTTTCAGTGGAATTATGTGAATTCGACATGTACTGGGATAAGGGGATTTGTTTTATACCGAAAATAAGGGTGCGACCTTTTGAGGACAATTCTGACATTCTTGGAATAATTGCAGGCAATGTTGAATAGATTATTAATTAAGAAAAATTGTTATGAATATTTTTTAAAAGAAAGGATAATGTCTTGTCGATATTAATATTTTGGAAATAAAGTCCGTTATTTTGATAATCGCACGAATCCAATGACCTGAAATGTTTTAGACATTATAATTTGTTATTAATGAATTTTATATTCGTTCAAATGTATCAAAGGCTTACTTTTTATCTAATAATATAATCAAAAGCTGTAACCATTCTGTATAGAAAATACACTTCTCGTCAAGATGAAACTTATAAACGTCTTTATGTGTTCTTGATGAAGGAATTCATCCAATTTTTCACTTTTCGGGTCATTAAGAAAAATAAAGTCCATTAATATTTCCCGTCAAAATTAAATTAAGGGAATAGGGAATCATTTTGTTATCAAAACACTGTGTTACTGCGTGCAAACGGTCTGTCAAACACTCCCTGAAATAATTGAAAATTTAAATTCTGTATAATAGTAATGCTTTTTCATGTGATATGGGATGTAACAGCTTACACAGAGAGCATAATGTATGGTAAACTCTTTAATGCGATACGAATTGAAATAGAATACCCAAGATGCATGCAGTTCCCAGCACTACATATTTAAATGACTCTGTATCATGCTAGAGAAGTTCAATTAAATTGTTGCATTTCATTTAGGGAGTGTAAAAATCAAATAACTTTTCCTTCACAAGAATGTGCGAGGAGTCAGGAAGACACTGGCGTGAAGAGAAACCGTTGCTCGACGCCATGACACAGCAGTTATGAAAGTTTTATGTTCCAAAATAAATTTCGTACCCTGTCTGACGAAATTTTGTTCGTGACTCAGCAAAAGACTGTTGATTTTATTTTAAAACGTTAATCTTCCTTATAAACATTGTAGTTCTTAACAGAATGATTATAGAGTTTAAATTCATAAATTTAGGTGACGGCGTATTAAGTGACAGAACAGCGCTTTATTTTTCATTTGTTGTATTTGAGAAAATGTGTTGAGAGACACGTTTTCCCTTACCCTCTCCTTGACAAAGCTTTTTCCACTGCTTAATTTTCTATAACATTTATATTTAAATTGAGATTGATTTAATAAGATTAATAAAAACCAATCTCTTAAAGAAGCTTAAATTCAACTTCGACTGATCAAAGTATTAAAGGGATATCGGTAATTAAGTAAGTCGGTCGCCGATGATTTGTTAAGTTTAATGTTATACAATACATGTAGTAAATTAAAAGAGGAATTTAATTTCATAACTGCACATGTCGAGACAGTGACAATAAGAGTCCCCAACGTTTAAGATTTAAATCTCCAAGTTTTTGCACTTTTACGACTTCTAATGATGTACAAGGCTAACGACCAGATTGCATGTTCCCTTCTTCGAATTCATTGTCAAAAACATAATGAAGGACGAATTTTCCAGCGATTTATTCCACAAATAATTCACCAAATTTTCAATTAAAAGTTGATAACACTATTTCGTAACTTGCTGTTTTGCCGACTCTATATATATATATATATATATATATATATATATATATATATATATATATATATATATATATATATATATATATATATACACTGTATAGAAAGAAGCACTTCGAGTAATTCATCCCCGAAGCCTTGAAATATGGATGAAAAATATTCTCAAAATGCATTAAATTTTATTGATGTTGTAATGCCATTACAGCTTTTCTTACTCAACCAAGCATGTTTTGTTAATCAGTTATGAATTTCATGCTGTATCAATCAATTTTCCGGCTGAAAAGCGCATCCAAAATATTATCAGCTCCACAAATCAAAAATGACAGATGGAAAAGCAATCAAAATAAAAGTCTTTTTATTGACTTTCATAACTCATTTATGAAAAGGGACTAAAATCGTCCGACATTTTATGCTGTTGTGAGGGACACAATCTTACAAAAAGAAGGCGTGACGGCTACTAACTTTTGTCACCAAGGCGGCTTGAACCTCTAAAACTCACGATGAACATGCGTTTTTTTTTCTTCCAAACCATGTAATTACCTAGATCATACACAGTTTAAAAATACTATCGGGAAAAATAAACTTACAGCCTTGATGGTTACAAATGAGATATTTAAGGACTTTGACAAACCATAATTACACTTCGCACGCAAGATTTTTTCCTGTTTTAGCTCTAAACCATTTGACCCTATTCATTGCAGCTCATTAGGGTAAACTGAGGAAAATGTTATTGACATTCACCGGTCGTGGCATTTATGGATCTTATACGAAAATTAAATTCATTATCGTGAAAAACAGACATCTTGTGTCTATGCGTTTTCTTCTTGCACAAATGCTTTATTATTGCCATAAAAAGGACTCTTTTTCAACTGTTTTTAAACTAGTCTCTCTATAATTCCACATATAAAGCTGAAAAGCACCAAAAAATGATAAATTCACGATGTTCATTCTTGTTTCCTAGTGAGAACCATCTTTTTTTTTTAAATAACAGATCGGCGGATTAACCAGTTCGGTGATTATGAGGATACAAGCAACATGAAACCAGAAGACTGGGACTACAGATGGGGAAAATCCCAGACACAGTTTCACATGCCTAAAACACATCCGTATGTTTTCTGTTAAAAAGACTCACAATGTGCTATTGAATAAGTGTAAATACAAAATCTATTTTCTTTCAAGACCAGACGTCTTTAAAATTTATTTATCGCAAATTTTACTGGTCATTTTTCTTGATGAAAATGTGGGAATGCACTTTGCAGATATTTAAAAACAAAATAAAACTAAAGAAATATCTCTTAATTTTTAAATTGCTTAATTTATTAAGTACAACTCCTGTCTTTCAATATACGCCGTCAATAATATATAGGTTTATTTCAAACTATAAGCTGACTGGTGCTCACTTTTTTGATAATTTTTTTAAAATTTATTTATCTTTTATTTTGTAGAATGCTCTCAAAACATTATGATACGCTGACAGGAAAAAAGAACAATGTACGAATTTTTCTACCACTTTGTGGGAAAGCAGTTGATCTAAAATGGTACAAGTTACTAGTATACAAAAATTGCATTATTTAAGGTCAGACGATACATTCCTCAAATATCTGTTTAGCATATCTTCGTATTGTATGGAAACTATTCCAAATTTTAATTACCTTCTGATTTCTAAACTTGTTTCAAATTGTCTTTAAAAAATTGAAACACTAAAAAAATGTGATATTGGCAAATCAAGTTTTTTCCAAAAGAATTTTATAGGAAACAACATCCTCTGGTATCTTGCACAAATGCCTGGTAAGGTACCTCAATTTTTTGCAAGTAAACATGTTGAAGTAGCAATACTTCAATGACAAATTCTTAGAAAAAATTATATATTATTGAGGAACGTATCGTCTGTCCTTAAGAATATTCCTAAGTCACGGATCTGAATCTTCAAAAACATGTTAGTAAATAAATTTGATATTTAGATATTTTTCTCAATCTTAAGGTATTTGACATTAGAAAGCCGTCCCGGTAGCTCAGTCGGTAGAGCGCTCGCTCCGTGATGGGAAGGTCATATGTTCGAATCACGGCCGCGACTGATCTAAGTCGATAAAAAATAGGTAGCAACTGTTCCTTCGCCAAGCGCTCCGCACTTTGAAGTGAAAATTGCGGGTCCTTCGGATGAGAAAAATCGAGGCCCCGTGTCACAGTAGGCGTTGGCACGATAAAGAACCCTCACTGCTCAATGGCCTTGAGTGACGAGTAAAGGTCTAAATTTGAAGCCCTTCACCGGTATATAGTGACGTCTCTATATGAGTTAAGAATTCTCGAACGGGACGTAAAACAACATACAATCAATCAATCAATTTGAGCTTAGACAAAAAATATAATTAATTATAAAAATCGAACGGAAAGATTGCTTCTTATTCTACAGGCTTGCTGACAAAGGACACGAAGTAGTCGGACTGGAATGTGCAGAAAAGGGATGCAAAGAATTCTTTGATGAACAAGACATACCTTATACTACAACTGATCTCAAAGAGATTGAAGGCAAAGTATTTAAGGTGAGTAATTGTTTAACTAATCAACAATTTCTGCCTGTATATGTTGATTAATTACGAGATTGTTAGACTTAGAATACACTTCTGCTGTTCGCGAATTCTACCATACGACCAAGTTTTTTTTTTTAATTAAAAAGAAGATCCATAAACGTATACATTTCGAGTTGCTTCATACTTTTGCTTCTTTGTGGAGGTCCTGTTTTATTTTTTTAGTTAAAATTCTATCAATGATACTTTAAAAAAAGATCTTTTATGGTTGTAATTGCCGTTCCTTGTGTGTAAGTAACCTTTGTAAGGTTTGTTACGTGTAATGACCCCTCGAAACTAATACTAATTCGAAAAATACGGTTAAACATTTGCCCCTTTTTTCGCAAACAGATGCACAAAAGACTTTTAAACTGTTCCCAAACAATTACATATATTGAAAAAAAAATAATCCCAAGAACCCAATATACTGCAATAAAAATATTAACTTTTACAATTTTTTTTTTTATCTTTCATTGAATTGTATCACAGATAGCTTGTATTCAAGGGAAACCCAATTACCCAAAAGTGCGGAAAGTCAATGATGTCCATTCATCAAGCTAAGGTGTTATAATTTTTTTTTCATAATACTTGACCTCTATTTCTAATCAGATGGTCTTCGTTCAAGACGATAAATTTACACTGTAATAGTCTTATTGAAAACAAATTGACTATTAAAGTTTAAAGTTCAAATAAAATGGACCAAAAGCTTACATGGCTAAACATTTGCATTGATATACTAGCGGTGTGATTTTCGTAATCTGAAATGACAGGGCACTTTTTAGTTCAAAGACGGGTTTATATTACCAAAGGCGGCAAACATCAAGACATTATTTATAAATCTTAAATCAAAATCCGATGAAATACATTTTTAATTTTATTAACTAAAGCACCAGTTGAAACGGACTAACTGGATTTTTAACAACTGTTGAATGAATTTTGCAACGTCTAATAATAGTACCTCTGTTCCGTATAATAGAAAAATAAAATGTACAAAAATTTAATAATTAAAAGTTTTTCAATTAAAAAAAAATCATATACCAATTTTTAATATTTATGTGCATCTATGTAGATCGATTTAAATGTAATAAAGAATGATAATTTTTTTTTGTAAAGCAAAGTAGATATAACAGAAAGGGTTTTTTAAAAAAAAAAAAACAATTATATCCCACCGATCCCAGTCCTGCAAATTTTCATTCTTCAGTTCTCGATGTCACATATGCAGATTCAAAGGTCTTTATTTAAACGTTTAAAATTGGTATGCTTACTCCTCCATGATACCTGATCCTCTGATGTTTTTAGAGGACCGTGTTTGCTCTGCTCCCGATTTGTATTGAACATTTTAATGGACTTTTGAACTTGATTACTGTTCATTATCTCCATAGTTAACTTGCACATCAATAATCTGCAGTTTAAAAATTCCTATATTGGACTTTTTTAAAAGAAACTTTTTGTTTCATGGCAACAGTGACAAGTTGTCCTCAGAGAGAAAACTTGAATAGACATTTTGCCTCTATCTAATCCCTTACCTAATAGAAATTACTTTTTTTTAAAAGTGTGTTTAAATGATAAATGTTTTTTCAATCATTTTTTTTAAAAATCAAATCACATTGATGATGCAAAGAATAATCCTCTAAAGGATTGAAACCTTGATTAAAAATATCTTTTTTTATGCAAAAGTCAAAAGGGGAAAAATATCAATAGATTAAATGATATGAAAAATTGCATTTAGAGAAAATTAATATCCTTACAATATATAATATAATATAATATCCTTTAAATTGTCTGGGCAGTTAATAAGAAAAATTAAATCTTAAGCTTTTATAGCTTTTTCCCATGTGCCACAGTCGCCATTTAGATTTTGCGATTATTATTACTACGAAGTAACATTAAAGTTGTTCAAGCAAGGTGCAAGACGCAAGGACAAGATTTGGTGGAGGAAGAAAAAAATACAAAGAATCGGACCGGAACAATACCAAATGTCACACAACTTCGTTCGGAGTGAAATAAAATGTTAGAAAAAGCAATATATTACATATTCATTTGCAGCCAACTATAGATTTACCATTAACATGGTGTAGTGATTGACATTTTTTCCTTAATAACTGCTATCTTCAGAGGTGTTCTCATATTTGTGTACTTTCGTATTGTCGTGACATTTGCGAATTTTAGGCCCAAAGAAGGGCGACCCCCACCTTGGCATAATTCAATGAATAAAGGATGTTCACAGGGGGTTGTTCTGCGTTCTTGGCTGTTGAGAAGTTTAGAAAGGTTACGGTAGGAGACATACTATTGAGTAGCTCTCCCATTTGAAAGTCCTGAGTCAATATTGAAGAGGCACACATTTAACATTAATGTTATTATTTGTTCATTACTTCAGTATCTATTCAGATTGAGTAGATATTTAAAGCAAATATTGGATAAAACCCATTAATCTTTTATACCCTATAGCTAAAGTTGTTGGTATCTCTTAAACAAGAGACGACATTGTTTAAATATAATATATAATATATATTAATAATGATATAAATACATAATATATATAAACAAAATATTTCTTAGAGATAACACTGCTGTCCTCATCCATGTGGTAGGATGTTATTCATTGTATTGGTTCACATAATTGTTCACCTAATTACTACGTACGAGATTCAAAGTGAAGTTTGAAGCCTTTTACTTTTAGTATGGTCTCACATAAAGCAAAATATAAATTTCTTTCCAAATCCACTTTAAGTTTCTAAGAACCATGTCATATTTTTTCTTTGAGTGTTTTTGCTTTATCACCGTTACGAAGTGTTTTTATATGAATGTCCGATTCAGGTGGCAGAGAGAGCGAATAACATTGTATGGCATTATGAATTATAAATGTCAGTATTGTTCCAACGTTGGATATCTGTGTGCTTGAGTTCATATTTATGGTAAAAGAAAATGATGAGTTGATCGAATTTCTATTGGTTTTTAAAATTCCTTATATATCATCTTCCTAAAAATTATTTCCAACCTTTAAAACTTAAACAAATTTCCTGTGCAATGTCCCTAGTACCTAGTAATATTTTACCGACGGCTGACATAAGAAAAAAATAGATTGAAATAGATTTATTGCAGTCGTATATTTTGTAAGGATATTAATTTTCTTTAAATACAATTTTTCATATCATTTAATCTATTGATATTTTTTCCCTTTTAATTTTTGCATAAAAAAGATATTTTTAATCAAGGTTTCAATTGCATTTAGAAACATAAAAGAATATTTTATGCCTGCATACCGTAGAATGGAATTTAAAGGAACTGCATTTTAATTTTGGTTTACATACATTTTCAACAGACATACTTTAAACAATTTTAATTACTTAAATTTTTTCGACAAAATTTTCATTTCAAAAATTTAACATAAGTGTGATGAGCATTTCAGGGAAAAGATTTAAATCAAGCATAATATATGTACAGTAAAACATGGTTATATGGCGTGCAAGCTTATTGTGAATTCACTCTAAAAGTGGAGTGAATTTCATGCCCTGTAGTTTCAAACATATTATGAGCTTAACGGGTAAAACGAATAACATTTATAACGACTCAAAATCATTATTATCTGGCACTTCAATATAAGCATGTTTTAATATTATATATTATTTATTACTTTTCAGGCCACCGATAACAGAAAAATATCCATTTACTGCTGCGATTTCTTTAAAATTTCAAGGTAATTTGAGGTTTATTTCGCATAGTTGAAGCCATAAACTAGTACATGTATATATATAAACATTTTTTTTTTTGTTCTCTCAAAATGTAAAACAATCTTACAATCTAGATATAATGTACCTTTTATAAGGGAAAAATTATTTGTTATATAATAATTTGCTTTCCTGGTACATATATATTACATGTATATGAATATCTGCATATCTATAGTTACTTTTTTCATAAACAACCTTTCATTAGATATGAAATACTCTAATGAATTCAAACAATTCTTTACAGTAAAATCCTGGGTCAGTTTGATTGCATTTGGGACAGGGGGAGTTTCGTGGCTATTCCAGTCCCTCAAAGAAAACAGTAAGATCAATAATCTATAGTAATCTTCACTAAGTAATATTACTTTTCCCGTTAATTAGTAAGATAATTTTCTGTATACAATATATATGATTATTTCTCTCTATAGGTATAGCAATATTATTACACCAATGATGCACCCTGATACAGTTTACCTACTAGACTCCTTTCTGGTCGATAATACAGTATTTGGAGGTATGTAATGTTCTTGTTTTTTTTTTTTTTTAAATGAAATACTTATTCAAAACCATTTATTAACGCATTTGTTTTTTAGGCCCACCATTTGATTGTAATGAAGATGACCTGAAAAAGGCCTTTGGTAAGATTTTTCATTTCAGACTCATGGATCTTGAAACACTTTAACATTCACACCGTTTTAGATCTGAATGCTATTGCATCTCTTTGAATAGACGTAAATAATTTTATGTGCTCTTACACAAATCTTTCACAATCATTCATAATTTTCATTCATTTCAGATAGTTTGTACATACAGCCAATGTGGCTGAAATACTGTCAACTCAGCATAACCCCCCCCCCCCAAAAAAAAAAGAACAATCATTCAATATAACCAATGTGCAACTTTCATTATCTTTATCATCCCAGATTTTAGATTCAAAGTATATTTTTACATGTCAATTCTTTGGTATAATGAAATATGAACTTTTATTCCATTGTCAGGGTCCCAAACAGATATCAAGAAAATAGACGAAAGAGATGCATTCGGGAAATGGCAGGAGAGTTGGGGATTAAAATCTTTCATAGAGGAATTGTATTTATTGAAGATGAAGTGAACACAATAATTTTTTTTGCTTATGTACAATGAACAACAGGAAAACAAAACAGCATTTCCACAATTGATACGCAATGTAGACATATTGTATGAACAATTTTCAACGAACAAATTCATTTTATTTATGATGTCATTTGCATTGCATATTTTTGTTTATAAGCCTTTCTTTTCAATTATTTAATGCCTAATTGTTGTGGTTTTTATTGTGATCGATTGTATATAGACTCCGTAAATGTTATTGTTGTTTCTTTGTTTTAACAAGCTTTTGAAAGACATTTTAAATGGAAGACAACTCTGTAAGGGTTCGTGATCAATTTATTTTCAAACTTCTTAATGAGTTTGCAAAGGCTTTAGTTACCTTTTCAGGCCAACACACGTATCTGGATGAATTACTAAGATGTATTGTCATATTCTTCTAATTAGCACACTACAAGCTTGTCATTGCTCGATTCACCACACGAAGCCCGAAGCTATTTCATATTTGGTCGGTTTTTGTCGAACAGAACTCTGTGTTTCCAAGGGAGCTTTTGTTTTGGTTTTCACGTTTATAAAATTGGCCGGTCTTGTTGTTTTGTACTTGGATATGAATTATATGTTTCGCCTTATTTTGATAAAGATGTTGATCTATTTTCACCGAGATGGATATATCTAGGTGCTTAGTTGGTCGTTTTGAATACGCTTTGACATTGTTGAGGGAAGAAACTTACAGGGTTTTTTTTTTCTTGCGACACAGTAGTACTCAAATCAGTGCATTGTGCTGCACCATATCACATATTTGATATTTTTCATCTTGTCTCGTTTAAGGTATCATTTCCCATGCTTTAATTTCTATGTCTATTTGTACATCATCGCACGTACGAAGTTTTTGCATTGAGAAATTAAATCAAAAATTGAATTTTGCAATGCAACTTACTTCAACATTGGCAAAATGCATAATTTAAAGAAAGACACTATATGCAGCCATAAGACAGTAATACAGACATATATGTAAGTGTTTGTCTTTAAAATTATTCTTCTCTCTACCTGGGTATCTAATGAAGTGGTAACAATAGGTAATGATATTGGCATCCTTCAGTCCAAAGACTGGATTTGTGTCTGTAGAGTTTGTTGAGGAGCACCGTCTTCTGTCGCTGTAAAGGCCGATCCTGGATTTGCACTGTCGGCTGTATCCACACAGATAAAGAATGGTAGACTGACAGGTTTTTCTTTAATCTGATGTTGTCTTGCTTTCTTTTTTTTTCTTTTTTTTTGATATACCTTTCTTCGGTTGCATGATCTTTAGATTTGTTTTCACCACCAGCCAGTCCTGATGCAATGAGGAATTTCTATTCTGTTTTGTCCACAGCAAGTCCAGCTGTTTGTGTCAATGTCTTGTTTGTGTCCCTCCTTTAACATTGGCAGACGTCCAAGAAGCAGAGTTGAGGGGCTTTTCATGTGTTTGCCTACTGCAAGTTCTCCATACGGGAGATCCTTAGGTTTGCGTCCGTCAACCATTCTATGCACAGAAAGCGTCTCTGACGGTGAAGGTTGTAGTAAACCTGCTTTTGTAAGCTTGTCGTTGTTGGTGACTCTGTCTTGTCGGGTGATCCAAGGATTCCTGCAAGCATCTTATTTGGTATGCATGTTTTCTTTTCCTGGTGCGTATAGGTTGCCCAAAATTAACTGCAATAGAGCTTACAACATAGGCCTCGTAAAATTGAATTTTTGGTGGAGAAAGTCAGGTGTTTGCATTTCCTTATATACATGCTTGGATAGTTAGGCAAGTGTTGATGCAGCTTTACCGATGCGTTTGTTGATCTCCTACCTTAGGTATTCTATTCCATAATTAACAGAATATACATGCGTCAAATTGAGCATTAAATTTTCGGGTAAGTGGCCCTTTGGTCTCTTATGATAGTCATTAACTGTATGAAACTAGAGAGTTAAATGAAGCATAAATTCTGTTTAAAAGAGTTTTGGAAAGAAAGCTTTTGTGTTAAAGAATTACATTTTTGGCCTTCTAGATGGAAAAAAAATTCAAAAACCTTTTTTCATATCTCCTGGACACCATAATCATATTCATGAAGTTGATTTGAATATTGCATAAAATGTAAGAGCCGTTCTATAAAGAAAAATGCTTGGCCACTGACTAGGTTCCCCTATGAAAATGAAAATTCTAAAATCTTATTGTATATCTACAGGACACTATCAATCATATTCCTAGAGATGATTTGGCTACCATATAAAAAGTAAGAGGAGTTCTTTGGACATTTTTTTAAATAGAAAAACGTTTTCGACCCCCCCCCCCCCATTGGCCCCCAAGATGAAAAGAAAAACTCCGAAACCCTAATGTACATATACAAGATCCCATCAATCATAATTCAAAAAAAAAAATGTTTGGATTCTGTGTAAAATGTAAGAGGTTTACCGGGAGCCGGGTTTCTTGGGGAAAAAATGAAGAAAAAAAAGTCGTTGACAGAATTGACCCTCAGGATGAATATGAAAATTCCGAAACCTTATTACACTTCTACAGGAAACCACAAACCATATTCCAAAAGATGATTTGACTACTGCTTAAAATGTAAATGGGGTTATGGGAACAACATTTTACATAGAAAATTGTCGTTTTTTCATATTAAAATGGCCCCAGGATGAAATTATAACCTTTATGCCCATCTAAATGTAGGACACGACTTTCATATTCCAAAAAAGAATTGGCTATTGATTTAAATGTAAAAAGAAATTGAGAACGAAATTTTTGTTGAGAATAAGGTGTTTTCCGCATCCATTGGTCAAAAATGAAAGCTTTGAAACCCCATTGCACATCTACAGGACAACATCTATTATATTCCCTAAAAACGAATTGGCTACTTCTAAAAATGTAAGAGAATATTACTCTGAGAAAGAAGATAGGGTGGCAGACGGACGGACTGACTCGAATAATAACAATGAATCCGAACTTTCTTTAGAAAGTCCAGGTATAAAAATATTCCGAAGCACAATGTCTTACTCTTTAAAATGCTTATATCTTATCCTCTAACAAAATGCATATTGTTTGTACTGTAGATGTTTAATGAGGGTTTGGAATTTTCATTTTCACCTATTGGGCCTATTGAGGGTTGAAAAACGAAGTTTTTTTTCTACAAAATCTGGTTCTCAGAAATCCTCTTACATTTCATGCAGTAGCCAATTCATCTTTTTGGAAAGTTTCCGGTGATGACCTGTAGGTATGCAATAAGTTTTAATTGGGGGTTCGAAAAACGACGTTTGTGAATGAATACCTGGTTCTCAAAATTTCATTTTATAGGTAGCCAAATTATATTTTGAAATACGATTTGTGATATCCTGTATATGCATAATAGGGTTTGCAAATTTTTATTTTCATCCTGAGTGCATCCCAGGGTCGAAAATTTTTTTTTCCACACACACACACAAACACACACACACAGAGTTCCATCAACTCCTCTTTCATTTTACACAGTAGCAAATTAATCATTTGGAATATTATTGTTGATGTGCAATGAGGTTTGGGATTTCATAGGAGAGGCCAATTGAAGGCCAAAAAAAAAAATCCGACACTATTCCTTTAAAAACATGTTCCCAGAATTTCTCTCACATTTTACGCAGTAGCCAAATAATGATTTAGAACACTGGTGGTGTCCTGTAGATATTCAAAAAAGTTTTGAAATTTCCTTCCCATCAAGCAAGCTAATTGGGGTCAGAAAATTTATCATTTCTTAACAAAAAAAATTCTTACAAAAGCTTTTTAAACGGAATTTATGCTTTATTAAGATGAGATTCTTGTCTGATATCTGACTAAATGAAATATTCAAAGTATATTTGTTTATATGGGTGAATTCAAAAAAAATGACCACCAAACTGAATTTTTTGGCAAAATTCAACTACTTATAACATATTTTTCACTTATATCATCATATTGCAAATGCATTCTAGTTTAAAATCCTGAAGTGGCAATAGAATAGACAATTGGATTAAAAAGTTTCAGAATTTTTATTAGTAAAATTTCTTTTGAAAAAAGAAAATATCATTACACCTTAAAAGACTTTCTAAAATACATAATCACAAGAAATTATAGTTTTTTATGCTTCAAAATGGTAAAAGGGGTATAAATGATTAAATCTAGACCTTGAATGAGTATCTTCTCTTGTACATGTGACAAAAAATTGGCTTTTTGATTGTTATTTTACATTATTTTTTCAATTCTGGTTTGAAAAGTTTTAATATGAAAAAAATATGAAGCAATAAAATTCCCCAAAATTCACTTTTTTGTCCGTCCAAGTCAATTCTTTAAATCTAAGCCAAAAAAGAATTGTTATATACGAGTTCTCTTACAAAAAATACTAGATTTTGAAGTCACCCTATGTTACATTATTGTGTTGCACTCCTGACATCTGATATGTATTTTATTTAACATTGTTTTAAAAATTATAACACACAATAACCCATTCTTACTTTGTAAATCAATTTGTCGTGTTGATATTTTTCATCGTTTACAGCAAGTTTTTCATATTTTGAAGACCTTAAAACATGATTATTTGCAAAGTGTAATATATATATATATTGTATTTAAAATATATGTGATATGATGAAAACTATTCCCTGAATTGACTGTAAACTTTCTGTAATTTGTTGATAGACATAGTGTTTTGAACATCAAATAGTATCAAGCATTTTTTTTCAACTTATTTTTTAGAAAAGATAGTTAAAAAACATTGGTAATTATGAAGCAGTTTTGTTGCACTCCTGACTGCAGTAAAGTTTAAAATTAAAACCATAGAACACAAAAATTCATAAAGTGTTGGCAACATCAAGTGGTAATGAAGTTGTGCAATACTTATAGTCCAATACTTCATAATTAAAACAGATGAAAGTATTTAAAATTCGCATTTTATCTGGAATTATACCCTATTTTATGCCAAAAAACTAGCTTAAATGTATATTTAGAAGATAAAATATATTTTAAAGCATATTTTCCTTTAGAAGACAAACACAGTAACCCACCAGAAAAATTCTACTCCTCATTTTTTCTTTATTTTTATTCTTATTGGATGATTTATAATTCTAACATATTTGTTGCACTCCTGACCAAAAGCATTGGGGCCTTTAAAGTAGAATTGTGAAGTGAAAATTACATAAGAACTTGTTCTGTTGTTTCAGTGAAGTTGAGGAGGAATTACTTGAATTTTATGACAATGTTTTAGTGTGTTTATTTTTAACGTTCATTAAAAAAATCACAAAAAAGATAAAAACACATCTGAATTGATAAAATTGAAAAAGGAAGGATTTTGATAATAAAACTGTCAATAATATAGCATTAA